GATGAAGTAGGCCCTTCGAAAAGTCTGGCCCCGCGAAAAGTCCAGTGCAGCACACTCCGCCGCCAGCCCCGCAAAAAGTCCAGCGCAGCACACTCCGCAGCCAGCCCCGCAAAAAGTCCAGCAAAGCACACTCCGCAGCCAGCCCCGCGAAAAGTCCAGCACAGCACACTCCGCAGCCAGCCCCGGTGGAGGAAGCAAAGGAGGAACGGGAGCACATGAGGCACAGAAGGAGAAGCGAAGGAAAAGGAGGAAGGGGATGAGCAGGAGGAGGAGGAGGAGAGGAGGAAGAGGAGGAAGAGGAGGAAGAGGAAGTTGGAGGAAAGCGACGCTAAGATAAAATCTAGAGACCCTCACCTGAGAGGGGAGGAACAACAAAACGAACCGACATAAACCAAGCAAACCAAACAACCAACGGGCTTATCTCTGGGAGCATCGATCAAAAGGCTTCCTTTGGGTGATTAGTTGGCCTCCTCCTTCAGCCAGCGGCTGGCCAACCCGCTGGCATGTGATCTGCTCGCAAACCTTGAAACTAGGTAAAATTCATGTGCGCAAACTGACTGAAGTGAACAATGGTTTTTGTTGAGCAGCTTAGTTTGAGGTGATTGTGGAACTTTCAAGTTGAACAATCATGTTCATTGTAGGATTCTGTCGCATCTTTCTTGGGAAAAATGGCAGTTACTTTTGGCATGAAGAAGCTGGAGTGCCTGGCAGGCGCAATACTTTAGACAGGTCTGCGTGGAGAGGTGGCTGGGGGCGCCCGGCTGTTTTCGCCTGGTCAGTACTTTTGCTTGCTGCAACTGGACGTTGTGGTAGGCGTATTGGTTGAGAAACAGGAAACTCGACCTTTCAGGGGGGGGATGGGGAGGTGAGGCTTGGTTGCTTCGTCGCTTGCGCTATTTCTGGCAGCCTGGAAATTAGACCAAACAACCAAACAACCAAACACCAAACAACCAAGAAACCTCGAAACCAAGAAACAAAAAACAAAAACCACCAGACAACCACACAAACAGCAAGCAAGCGAGCAAGTGAGAAACCAAGCAACGCAGCAACCAAGCAACCAAGCAATCAAGCAATCAAGCAACCCAGCAGGCAAGTAAGCGAGCAAGCGCCAGTGAAGTTTGACTTGACTTGCTGGGGCAGTAGCGACATGTTCAGTTGAACTCCATTTCGTATGTGTGGCTTCTTAACCCCTCAAATATGCTCGAGCAACATTATTCCCAGTGGTTTTGGCTCAAGGTCTGTCGATCCGGTGCACCTGCTCATGGTAGGCGACATCTAAAACACGATACGCCGATTCGACCGAAACTCGCGCGTGCTCTCAAGGCCCATGCCTGGTTTCCCCAAATCAGCTCCTGTTCAAACTGGCGGGAACCGTTTATGCTCCAAATGTGAACTGGCCGGCCTCGCCATGAACTGGCACATGAGGCTGCATCGCACAAGTTTCCCCGCGCCTGGCTGTGCCCACTTCTTTCTGCTTACACTGTTTGCCTCGCTTGTCTTCTCATTGCTTGCCTTGACTTCTGCTTTCTTGCTTTCGTGCTTGCTTGCTTGCTTGTCTGCTTGCTTGCTTGCTTGCTGGCTTGCTGGCTTGCTGGCTTGTTGGCTTGCTGGCTGGCTGGCTGGCTTGCTGGCTGGCTTGCTGGCTGGCTTGCTGGCTGGTTTGGGCTGCCTGCTTGCCTGCTTGCTTGCTGGCTCGCTGGCTTGCTGGCTTGCTGGCTGGCTTGCTGGCTTGTTGGCTGGCTGGCTGGCTTGCTGACTGGCTTGCTTGCCTGCCTGCTTGCCTGCTTGCTTGCTGGCTTGCTGGCTGGCTGGCTGGCTTGCTGGCTTGCTGGCTTGCTGGCTTGCTGGCTGGCTTGCTGGCTGGCTTGCCTGCCTGCTTGCCTGCTTGATTGGTGGCTTGCTGGCTTGCTGGCTTGCTGGCTGGCTTGCTGGCTTGCTGGCTGGCTTGCTGGCTTGCTGGCTTGCTGGCTGGCTTGCTGGCTTGCTGGCTTGCTGGCTGGCTTGCTGGCTGGCTTGCTTGCCTGCCTGCTTGCCTGCTTGCTTGCTGGCTTGCTGGCTTGCTGGTTTGCTGGCTGGCTTGCTGGCTTGCTGGCTGGCTGGCTTGCTGGCTTGCTGGCTGGCTTGCTGGCTTGCTGGCTGGCTGGCTTGCTGGCTGGCTTGCTGGCTGGCTTGCTTGCCTGCCTGCTTGCCTGCTTGCTTGCTGGCTTGCTGGCTTGCTGGCTGGCTTGCTGGCTGGCTGGCTTGCTGGCTGGCTTGCTGGCTGGCTTGCTTGCCTGCCTGCTTGCCTGCTGCTTGCTGGCTTGCTGGCTTGCTGCTTGCTGGCTTGCTGGCTTGCTGGCTGGCTGGCTTGCTGGCTGGCTTGCTGGCTGGCTTTGCCTGCCTGCTTGCCTGCTTGCTTGCTGGCTTGCTGGCTTGCTGGCTGGCTTGCTGGCTTGCTGGCTGGCTGGCTTGCTGGCTGGCTTGCTTGCCTGCCTGCTTGCCTGCTTGCTTGCTGGCTTGCTGGCTTGCTGGCTGGCTTGCTGGCTTGCTGGCTGGCTGGCTGGCTGGCTTGCTGGCTGGCTTGCTGGCTTGCTTGCCTGCCTGCCTGCTTGCTTGCTGGCTTGCTGGCTTGCTGGCTGGCTTGCTGGCTTGCTGGCTGGCTGGCTTGCTGGCTGGCTTTCTGGCTGGCTTGCTTGCCTGCCTGCTTGCCTGCTTGCTTGCTGGCTTGCTGGCTTGCTGGCTTGCTGGCTGGCTTGCTGGCTTGCTGGCTGGCTGGCTTGCTGGCTGGCTTGTCTTGCCTGCCTGCTTGCCTGCTTGCTTGCTGGCTTGCTGGCTTGCTGGCTTGCTGGCTTGCTGGCTGGCTTGCTGGCTTGCTGGCTGGCTGGCTGGCTGGCTGGCTGGCTTGCTGGCTGGCTTGCTTGCCTGCCTGCTTGCCTGCTTGCTTGCTGGCTGGCTGGCTTGCTGGCTGGCTTGCTTGCCTGCCTGCTTGCCTGCTTGCTTGCTGGCTTGCTGGCTTGCTGGCTGGCTTGCTGGCTTGCTGGCTGGCTGGCTTGCTGGCTGGCTTGCTGGCTGGCTTGTCTTGCCTGCCTGCTTGCCTGCTTGCCTGCTTGCTTGCTGGCTTGCTGGCTTGCTGGCTGGCTTGCTGGCTGGCTGGCTGGCTGGCTTGCTGGCTTGCTTTCGTGCTTGCTTGCTTGCTTGTCTGCTTGCTTGCTTGCTTGCTGGCTTGCTGGCCTGCTGGCTTGCTGGCTTGCTGGCTGGCTGGCTGGCTTGCTGGCTTGCTGGCTGGCTGGCTTGCTGGCTGGCTTGCTGGCTTGCTTGCCTGCCTGCTTGCCTGCTTGCTTGCTGGCTTGCTGGCTTGCTGGCTTGCTGGCTGGCTTGCTGGCTTGCTGGCTGGCTGGCTTGCTGGCTGGCTTGCTGGCTGGCTTGCTTGCCTGCCTGCTTGCCTGCTTGCTTGCTTGCTTGCGACTGCTTGTTGACGAGTTTGTCTTTTGAACCCAAAGCAAGCCACTCATGCTGTATACATGTGGCTTGCTCGCTATTCCAGTTCGTTGGTTGCAGCCCTGATACCTGCATCAATGAGTTCGCACATGAAGCGACAAGGTGTGTGGTACTGGACTGCAGCACATGAGCTAGCCATCATTGGAGGCGCATGGTGTCAAGCGTGCGCCTTTTGGCACTCCAGACTCCAATGCATTGAACATACTTTAGCAGCTTGGACAAGCAACTTGAAGGTCGCTTGTTTGTTGGGCAAACTCAGTTTCTTCTCCAATGCTCACTCTGTATGCAACAAGCTGACTCGACACGGCCACAGGGACAGTGCTTGGTGGACATGCGTCAGTGAAAACACCAGCAGGAACTGCGCATATTAGGCGCGATGCGTCATCGCCCCCGCCAATCGTCTTGTCGGAGGGCATCTGACCGTCAGGCTGGATGCCATGCTCCAAGCAGAACAGCTCCCAGCAGGCGTTGCCAATTTGCACGCCGCCCTGGGAGCACGGTTGGCAAGTTGCCACAAGTCAGCTCAAATGCCCTTGAACCCCAATCAGCAAATTCAATGCGTCAACTGCACCTGGGAAAAATAACAGTACATAGCTTGGTTGACGTTGGAAGGGGAGCAAAAAAAAAAAGCAGCTAAGTGGGGATTTCCCACTAAACCACAATAAGCAAAAATGTAAAATGTTTCCCAACGACAACCATGATAGGGGTCAAGCTTGCAACGAGCCTGCAGAAAGAAGCAAATTGAAATACCAAAGTTCTGCTGAATTCTACACCAAAGCGCCTGGCCAATGTGGATGCAGATCGCCTCGCGCATGGCTAGATAGTTAGAAAGCTGAAGACAGCGGAAAGTGCCGGAAACACACCGCGTGATGTGGCCGCCTCAAGCACAAATCCTGGAGCCAAAGTCACGGATATGACCAACAAACTGCCGGTCGCATTTCAAATGCTGAAACAGCTGCCTGTGCCGTCCCCTTCTGAAATTGCTTGCCATATTTCAAACGCTGAAACAGCTGCCTCTGCGTTCCCTTTCTGAACGCAGGAGTGCCCATGTTGGCACACCGAACCTGCTTTCTGTGTAGTAGTACGCATAAACATATACATATTATTTTTGAACACCATGTTTGGGGTCCTCTGTTGAACACAAACAGAGTAGGTCCAGAACATCACCTATACTCGCCCAACATGTTCCCAACGCCCCGAATCCGAATCGGCGAGCGGAGAAAACTGCAGCGGGGCTCCGTGCCGGCAGCATCTCCGCGGCGGCACAGCCCACAGCGGCGAGCCTTGGCTCGGGGTTGGCTTGGGATTTTTTTTTTTCGAAGCTCGGCACTGGCTGGCTTCCTCAAAACAAGTCGGTTGGTTGGTGGGTTGGTGGGTTGGTTGGTTGGTTGGTTGGTTGGTTGGCAAAAAGGGAGACATAAGGACCCGGTGGGTTCTGGAAAGAATCTCAAGATCCATACCACCCCTCAACCCTCACCCGTCACCCATCCGCTCCGCTCGGCTGCTGTTCTCCGCTTCCATCCGCCGCTTCGATTCGATCTTAGGGCAGCGGGGAGGCGGCAGTGGGCTTCCAGTGCCGCAGCGGGTCGGGCGGCAGCGACCGCCTCAGAAGGGATGGAGGTTCTTGCTGGTGTCCCTTGACACCCACCGCAATTTGGATGTCTTCAAATAGAATCCTCAACACAACTAGGTGGTTTAGGGTTTTCCTTGAAACAGGGACTGACTCCAAATGGGAAAACTATATCAAGGGGTTGTTTCTTGTTTGAAACACGGGTGAGGCTTGTCGGCTTGAAAGAGGGTGTCTTCGAACGGGGAGCCCCAACACACATGTGCTCAGTTTGGATTGGGTTGGGGTTGGGCGAGATTTCAGAGCCTGGCGGATCAAAAGGAGTGTCCAATTTCCCCAATTGGGCCTTTCCATTAGTTTGACCGCCAACGGATCAATTGGCAGGTTTGCGATCAAGAAACAACTGCCCAAATGGGGGTCCCCTTTCCGCTGACCCTTGTGCACAGCGAGTTTAAGGACCTTGCGAAAGGAGCATTGCCATATCAAGTCCACTGTCAAATGCCTTGCTCATTTCTGGTTTGTGGATACTGTCGCTCGCTCTGTACCACAGGCCAAACTAGGCTGTACAGCAACTGCAAAATTGGGCCGCATGATGTGGCACGTTCATCAAACTAGTGGGGCCAGTAGAATCAGGGAAAGGTATGGGTATCAGGATAGGAGGCCGGACCCCAACCATGGCCAGTGTCTTTTGGCTTCCCTTTCAAACCCGAGGGCACCCTCAAAACGCACCCGGCCATCTGACGGGCTGCTGGTACCTTACTGGCAGCTTCAGGTTTTGTACTGCGTCGTCCGCGGCTTCCTGATGCCGCGCTTTTTTCGAAGAGACGGACCCGTCGCTCCAAAATGGGAATGCGTCACACGGGTGCTGCTCAAAATGGTGGATCCCGCCATTTTGTTTTGTTGGGTATTCACAGTAAAAGGCTGCCAAAAGGAATCCGACCATTTTCGGAAGCAAATATTTTGAGAAAACCCCATGTTGAGAGTTTGGTGCTTCCTGTTGGCAGTGGGGAGATCCTAGAAGAGAATGCTCCATTTGAAGCGACAGTATTGCCAGAAACCGAAACTGGCTAACCCAAAACCGACCCCCCGTTACTCATATGCACTTTTTGAGGATACATGTGGTTGATCGCTGTCCTCTTCAGGCCGATTTAAGACCATCAAGATGTTCCTATCTTGAGGGTGTACCATAGCCATGTCGTGCTTGTGTGTGTGTGTGTTTGTTTGCTTGCTTGCTTGCTTGATTGAAGTTGCTTCAAAGGGAGACAAAAGGAAAATCACAATGTGCGGGGTCGCCCGATTTTGAGACAAACCCTTTGAAAAATCTAGACATCTGAATGAATATGTCCATTCACGAGATGAGACGATCCTTCTGGTGTCCATTCCTGGGACTTGCCACAGATGTCAAGAGCTTCGCCTGAGAATTCCCTGCCGCCCAATTAGAAAGAGCAGGGAGCCTGAGTCATTTCACATGTTGCTTGGCCAGACTTCGACCGCAAAAAGTTACCTTCTTTCTGCAATCAGAAAATGGAGGAAACCCAAAAGGGCAAAAATCCAAGGTGAGATAAGTCTGGCAATTGTTGATCCCAAGACCTTCCCCCGTGCGATTCATTGCAAGACATAATCCAGCTGCCTGCGCTTGCTCTGCATAGCCTGGCAACGGCACGGCTTTTCTTGAACGCGTGCGTGGCATCCGTGTGTTTTCGCTCGGGGTCGTTCTGGGGAGTGAAGCACGAGTTCAAGGGGTTACGCTCCTGCAAATAAATGTGTAATTATATGTATATATATATATGTGTTTGTCAACATAGACAAGCACGCAAAAACATGGTGGTTTTCGTCTCGGTTTCCCTTTAAACCAACCCAAAAAAAGGTATCCTCAAAACACTGACACTGCTTGCGGAAAACCGCCCTTTTCCGGGAGGTGTGAAGGTTCGTTGGTTCAAAATGAAGAGCGCCCAAGCCGTTGGTTCATCGACGGCAAAACAGCACTGCAAGGAGCCTTCTGTTGCCTGTGACCAAAATGGTGCTCGAGGGACACGGTTGGTCCATCTGGGCGTTTCTCTAACTACTGCTCCCCTAAAACAGCTGGTTCTATTTTAGTCTCCCTTTAACTACCACGCGAAAGCGGGTCCCCCAGTTTGAGAACCCCCTTTCTGGAAGGGAGAATGTCGGTGTGCCAGACTTTCCCACTGTGAAGACGGTAACACAACCCATGAAGTAAAGCTGTCAGTTGACTCGACGTTCGTCCACATCCGAATTGAACAAATGCTGTGTCTTCCGTGAGCTGCCCCCACTCCTGGTATCGATTGAGGTATTCAAACGCGTCGCTTCTGCCTGTACGTGTTCAACGTCCCTTCGAAAATCATTGGAGCTCTTCGAAATGGGAGACAACTAAAATTCGCACCAAATCGCACCATTCTTGCAAAATCCATCTCCCCGACATAAAATGAGAATGGTGTCCCGGCCTTTTCCCACCCAACTTCAAAAGTGGTAGCCAGGTCGTACCCCGAAAATAAGCCTCCTAATGGGGCGCTCATTTGTCTTGAAGGGCTAGCGCCATGGACATACTGTGCAGCCCAAAAACCCTTAGAAGCCCTAAAAAGCGGAAGAACCGGACTCTTCAAGGAAATCGGTCCATAGAAACCCTGCCCAGCGCACGCCTCATCCACCCGACACTCCCGCCTTCGTCCTTGGCCTTCTTCACCGCGAGCTCCGCGGCCTTGAGATGCTCCTCTGCCGCCTGCTCCTGCGATTTCGCCGACCGGTTTCGAACATCTGGCCACAGGGCGGTAGCATCAAACCTTCCCTTCCAAACCATCAAAGAAGCCGTCCCCCATAGACTGGGGGTTCTTTGGACTGTAATCTGGGGAGATTAGATTTGTTTCGCCCTGTTACAGAATAGGCAGGCACATTCGCAGTTGGGCTACCATAGGATTGGGTCAGGTTCCCCTTAATCATAGTTTAAGTGGGAACCCCTCCAAACTGGTAGGCGAACAAAGATCCCCACCAACATGATGTCCACCCAAGGGCCCCCAATGAAAGTTGATAACCATTTCTGCCCAGCCATTTTTGTTGGGGACTTCCAAGTCCAGGGCCAATACAGACCCCAATGGCCGTTTCCCAACGCTCTTCAGGGGCTTCGGACAAACCCAGACAGATCTCGTTTTTTCTTCCGGGTGTCCCTTCAGCACAACCCAAGATTGCTTCTCAAAATACCTCGCATGGGTCGTACCCCCAGTGAACATCCCAATCCCTACTAAAATAGACTAAACTGGGTGGTGAATTCACCTACCCCAAAATTGGATCCCATTAGTTTTGACTCACGGCCACATCTCGCACGGGCCACGCAGCCCGGTGCCACCGACCGGTGCCCGAGCGGTGCCGAGCGCCTGCGCCGCCGCGCTCTGCCGGGTCTTCTGGGCGAAGGCGTCGGTGAGCCGCGCTGCGGTGAGGTCCCCCGAGTTGCGCAGCACCAGCGCCTGGAGTCCAACGGACGGACCCGGCGAGGGAAACTGGGCGGTGGAAAACCAAAACCGCAGCTTTGGACAGCAAAAAGGTCTTTCAGGGCGGCATGAAGAGGAACCAACAGGAAAGCCCGCCCATTTTTGGGATGCCCCTACTTTGACAAATACCGATATACCCAATTATGTACTTGTAAGGGACAGGCCACTGAATTGGGTGTCGATATATTAACAAGCGATGTATACGACAACATTTTCCCTTGGGTGTAATGTTTGCATCTGTTGCATATCTACAGTCCGAGCCATGGGTAATCTCGGCGCAGCTTCTTTCAATTCAAGCCTCCTCACGTGCTCTGAAAAGACCAGGAACCAACCACACCCTGGTTGGAAATTGGAAGAGCATTCTCCCTTGGATGGTATGTGAGTTTTGCCGGAGAGTTCTCTGCACCTACAGGAGAACATCATGATCCAGAGTGAAACCCTCCCTGACGTAGGACTTGTGGTAGCAGCAGTAGCAAAGACAACACTTGTGGTAGCAGCACTTGTGGTAGCAGATTTGGGCCTATGAATGCGTTGGGAACGCGCAAAAAACAACAACATTTGATTGCCATGGCCTTTCTCAAAAAATGATGCTTGACACCACCCCTTCCACATAGGACCCTGGTCTTCCCTTATATAATTACACCCTTCAACTGTACGTTTACACCCTTTAACCCCTCTCTGCCACGTCCCAAAGCCCAATGACAAAACCTGAATGAAAATCACCCTGGCTAGTTCATGCTTTGCACGACGTCCCACTGGGTCCATGAAAGGGGCATCCTGAAAATTACCCTCTAAACCCTCACAACCTTCACTTTAACACGTCCACAGCAGGAGCGGGTGACCTCCACATGCTTGAACATTATGGAACGAAACGACGAAGGACGTCTGGGAGGCAAGGCTCCAAATGATTAACTCAGAATAATCGAATCAAATCAAGGCATGCCAAATCAAATTGCATCAAATCAAATTAAGTCAAGGCCAACCAAACAAATTGGTTGACTGACTGATTGATGATTGATTGACTGATCATCTATCAATTCTAATTCTAATTAATCAATGACATCATAATTAACAATTAACAATTAAATTCATTAAACCAAACCAACCAAATCCAACCAACCAACCTAAATTCAATAATTAATTAATCAATTAAATAATTAATTAAATTAAATTAATCAATTAATTAATTAATTAATTAATTAATTAATTAATTAATTAATTAATTAATTAATTAATTAATTAATTTAAATTAAATCATTAAATTATAAAATTAAATTAATTAGTTAATTTAATTTATTTTAATTAATTAATTAATTAATTAATTAACTAATTAAATTAATTAATTAATTTTAATTAATTAATTAATTAATTAATTAATTAATTAATTAATTAATTAATTAATTAATTAATTAATTAATTAATTAATTAATTAATTAATTAATTAATTAATTAATTAATTAATTAATTAATTAATTAATTAATTAATTAATTAATTAATTAATTAATTAATTAATTAATTAATAAATAAAATTAAATAATTAATTAATTAATTAATTAATTAATTAATTAATTAATTAATTAATTAATTAATTAATTAATTAATTAATTAATTAATTAAATTAATTAATTAATTAATTAATTAATTAATAATTAATTAATTAATTAATTAATTAATTAAATTAATTAATTAAACAATTTGAATTAATTAATTAATTAATTAAATTAATTAAATTAATTAATTAATTATTAATTAAATTAATTAAATTTAATTAAATTAATTAATTAATTAATTAATTAATTAATTAATTAATTAATTAATTAATTAATTAGTTAATTAATTAAATAATTAAATTAATTAATTAATTAAATTAATTAATTAATTAAATTAATTAATTAATTAAATTAATTAATTAATTAATTAATTAATTAATTAATTAATTAATTAATTAATTATTAGATTAATTAAATAATTAAATTAATTAATTAAATTAATTTATAATTAAATTAATTAAATTAATTAAATTAATTAAATTAATTAATTATTAATTAATTAATTAATTAATTAATTAATTAATTAATTAATTAATTACTTACTTAATTAATTAATTAATTAATCCCTAATTAAATTAATTAATTAATTAATTAATTAATTAATTAATTAATTAATTAATTAATTAATTAATTAATTAATTAATTAATTAATTAATTAATTAATTAATTAATTAAATTAATTAATTAATTAATTAATTAATTAATTAATTAATTAATTAATTAATTAATTAATTAATTAATTAATTAGTTAATTAATTAAAATAATTAAATTAATTAAATTAATTATTAATTTATAATTAATTAATTAAATTAATTAATTAATTAATTAATTAATTAATTAATTAATTAATTAAATTAATTAATTAATTAATTAAATGATTAACACAACCCAATTAAATTCAATAATTAATTAATTAATTATTAATTAAATAATTAATTAATAAAATGAATTAAATTAAATTAAATTAAATTAGATTAATTAAAATCTATCTAATTAATGTGATTAATCCATCAATCATCACCAAATTAAACAAAACAAATCAAAGCAATTCAAATCAAGTCAACAAATCAACAAATCAAGTCAATTTAAACCAAATCCACTCCAATCCAATCCAATCAAATGCAATCCAAACAATCCAATTCAATCAAATCCGATCCAATCCAATCAAATCAAATCCAATCCAATCAAGTCAAATCCAAACCAACCCAATCAAATCCAATCAAATCCAATCAAATCCAAACCAATCCAATTTAATCAAATGCAACCCACACCAAGCCAATTCAATCCAATCCAATCAAATCAAATCCAAACCAACCCAATCGAATTCAATCCAATCAAATCCAAACCGATCAAATCCAATCCAATCCAATCCAATCAAATCAAAACCTATCCAATCCAATCAAATCCAATCAAATCAAATCCAAACCAATCCAATCAAATTCAAACCAATCCAATCCAATCCAATCAAATGCAATCCAACCAATCCAATCCAATCAAATCCAATCAATCAATCAAACAAACAAAAAAACTATAGCGACTGACCCGGGGAGGTCTGGAACCTTCATGATTGATTGCTGGGTCAGGCTGACGTCCGAGATGCCGCTTGCTTATGCAGTAACCTGCCCCAGGAATCAGAAGAGACCTGGCTGCACAGCCCTTCAAACACTAGGGCAGGGCCTGGCCGAACTACAGTGATGCTGCCAGGCTTGCGTTGACACTATTGCGTTTCCAGGAAAAAATCCACCCCCCTCCTCGCTTCAACTGCTGCGCTGAGTCATCCTTCTACTTTGTCTAAAAATTGATCCACGCAATGCCAGCCTCTGAGAGGTACTCCCCACACCCTCGACCCCCCCGGACGGAGGCCTTCGTCTTCAGCTCGTCCGCCTCCCGCCGCAACTCCTCCGCCTTGCGCCGCGCCTCCAGCGCTGCGGCCCGCTGCAGCTGCGGCACCGTCTCCGCGTAGTGGCGCTGGACCTGCGCGGTGGCCGCAACTTTGGGGGGAGCTGTGGGTGAATGTTTGGATCTGCTCGTCTTTACTGCTGCTTCTCTTTGCAGGATTGGCTACCCTTTTGCCTCCCCTTCTCATTGTTTGCCTCCGCACCCGGAAGTGCCTAGGCAAACCAACAGGAAGCAAAAGAACATACTGTGGTTTTCGGTGTGTGGAACCTTTGCTGGCGACTTGAAAATAATGATCACGCATACCAAACCTGACAAATGGTCAAGTCGAGGCCGTTGGCACACTCTGGCGTGCCTGGAGACTGGTGCAGCGGCTAGAGTATGGTTTGCATTTTGGGATGGCATCATCTGTGTACGCAGTTCATTCGGTGGGAGCAACCCAATGAGGTCTTGTACACTGGCACGTGAGCTTTGGGCATGTCTCAGAAGTTTGGGGACCCCGAGTCTTCCCTTTCGCTCTCCCTTTGCCAGCCCAAAGCGTACCTCCATGTAGGGGGCCGCCGCTGAGCGCGCTGCCTGGCCAGGCCGGCTCAGCAGGTCACTGTGTCCACACATGCACAGGGGCCTCAAAAATGTGTCCACAAATTCATCCGATGAGCCGCGAGAAGCCAGGGCAAATCCTGGAGTGCTTGACAAAGACAATCTAACCCTCCCTTTCTGGCCAGGGAATATGCTCCAATGCTAGAAAACCCAAAACTTTCGGCCAGTGCCGCCTCAGCCGCCTGCACTCGCCAGGGCACCGGCGCGTTGGTAGCGGTATGGCTTGTAGCAAGCCTACGCCGAGCGA